TCGGTTGAACTCATTTCTTATGAAAAAATAAAATTTTACTGTTTAACTAGCTCGCCAATTCACAAATTTTAATATTTAATTCTAAAAGTTATTAATAATTTGAAACCGGAGATGAATGAATTACGGAAAAAATTCTTCTGTCAAAATATAAAGCTATGTATGCAACTCCTACATAATTAGTAGAGAGCGGATCTTAGGGCAAATGCCTTTTCATATTTAAAACAGGCTTCCATGCGTTTCACAAAAAAATATTCTCATTTGAGCCTTATTTGTTTTTGTCTAATTGCATGTTCTGCAGTGTAATGCATATTTGCCTATTATTTATATTGCTTAAAATGCCTAAATCAGGCGATATTTCAAAAATTAAGAAATTAAAAAAATAATAATAAACCAGCTTTAGTGAAAATAATTCTGCGTTACAAAGAAACTTGTTTTGAATTACAAAAAGTAATGGATGGCTAAATTTGTAAAAGGATTAAACAGAAAGTTGAGCTATTTTTTCAAAACTTCTGCACATAGAAATACGAATATTTTCATTTTAGTTTATTAGATTTAATTTAAAGAATAAAATATTACAATTTTCTTATGAAGAATAAGCAACCCATCTGCAGCTTGACGGTTTTACAACGTTGCCTCACAAATCCGTACCTGAGTTGAGTACTTACATACTTCCTGTGTCCGTCTGTCTGCCGTCCCGGATTTTTATTAGACAGATAATCTTTGAAAGTACTGAACCGATTGTTGTGAAATTTTGTACTTATATTAGGAATATCATGTAGATGGTAATGGTAAATCATCCCCACCAAGAATGTGATGACGTCACTTCAAAATTGTACATAGTATACTATCCTCAAACATATTTGGCGTTTATGACTTCACACCAATTTGACTCCCATTATAATTCAATAGGCCGTCACAACCGGATGTCTTAAACCCGCTCACCAATACCTACCTGAAAAGACCTTTTCTGGTAAAAGCACAGGGCAGGACTGAGTTTTGCATTTACCGACAACTGCGCCTTTCGAGTTTTTTATTTTAAGTAAAAACAAAGTAACTTTGTACTCAATCATTTTTTATTACAGCACAACTATTTACTTATTAACTACTACTGCTTATTTATTGATCGAAATAGTCACTGTCATCATCACTCGACTCTTCTAAATTAATAATTAACGGTGTTATCAACCGTGCCCTGTACTGGTCTTCTTCTTTTGTGGAATGTCGTACACAATTGGCCCACATTTCGGCAGTTATTTTGGAAGCTTCTTCCCTAATTATGTCAATTGTTGCACTACTAAATTTTGGTGCCATATTATTCCTTCTTATATTATTTTTCATTTGCGACCAGATTAGTTCGATGGGGTTAAATATACAATAGTACGGCGGAAGTCTAATCACCCTAAATCCACGATCTCGCGCCATAGCATCTATTTTATATTGTTTCTCAAATTTTCGAGTGTGTAACACTTCTAATAATTGTGTCTTTGTGTAATTTTCTTCAAAGTATAAATCATGTTCTGTAAGGAAATTTTGAAATTTGAAAATTTTAACAAACAAAATTACACGAGTCCGGTCCTTCGCGTCTCGACCGTCCCCAGCACGTCGAAAAGGTCTTTTCAGGTAGGTATCGGTGAGCGGGTTTAAGACATCCGGTTGTGACGGCCTATTGAATTATAATGGGAGTCAAATTGGTGTGAAGTCATAAACGCCAAATATGTTTGAGGATAGTATAAATGAGTTTTAAATTGTATAAAATAATAATAGTCCTACACATCTAGTTTATGACTCTGAATTGAGTTTTTACCCGAAACGTCCAGATTTTTTGAAAAAAAATCTTAATTATGAAACACAGTAGTTTGCAATTTAATTTAGAATCTGCAAAACTGAATGCTTTAAAATCTTGCAGATGATTTACAGTTATGATAAGCATGATAAATTTTTATTCAAAATATATTTACTTGTCCCCTCCAAAAAATTGAGGACGTCAGCTCAAAAGTTTGTCGAATAAATCCTATCTAAAATGTACAAAATATGATGACTCTGTACCTGTGATTTATCATTCCATTCATGTTTTAGTTTTGCTTAACAGGTCGCTCAAAAAATTAATGATTGAGTCAATTTATTTTATTGATTAAATCAGAAATAGTTAACTCCATTTTCCCGAAAATTTGGAGATACAACACTGTTAAAAATAAAATCTAATGTTTTATATAATAAGCGGAAGTCGAAGCATTAAAAAAGTGGACGACCATCGGTATTATTTGCAGTTTCTCTGTTTGACTCGCACGTTTACAATCTCAACAAGTGTTACCGCTTGTTGTCTTTAATTAAGAATGCTTATACATAAATGATTTTGAGTCGCCTCTGCTGCTACACGCGGCATACGTGAGTAAACTGTTTCGTTATTTTATTGATTATAAATCAATATTCAAGATGACCCACTTCGTTTTCCCGAAAATTTGGGCATACAGTACTTTTATTTTTAGTATTACACTACATCTATCCAAACTGATATACGTGTCCTTGCAAAAATGTTGTCATGTAAGAACAAAAAAAAACACTAATAATAGGCATGCAGTCATGTTTCCGACAGATAGGGAAGTACTGTCTAAACTCTTAGACTAATGTTTTATATCTGTATTATGGGATTAAGCCCATACCTTATATGTTTTGAGTTAAAAAATGTCCCGGTACATGTTTTTTCAAATAAAGTTTTTACGTTTTAGTTGAAGATTTCGAAAAGAATAATACACAAAGGGCTAAGTAATTATTTTTATTACCAGGCGCTGTGGACAAAAGTACAAGTGCATTTCCAGCGTTTTCTTCAAAAATCGTACCCATAGAAGCAGTTTACACAGTAGCGAATAGGAGTACTAAATTCTAAGCACATGAGATACTTTTTTTGTTGGTACCAATAAATATAAAATAAAAAATATCTAATTTGTGCCTTATTAAGACTTTACAAAACGAATGTAAAAAATAAGATATGTGCAAAGTGTTTTTTTATTTTTTTTTTCGTTTAACAACTGACCTTCGTTGGATGTGACAAGTAGTGAAAAGATATACATCGGCAAAATAGAACCAAAATACTGTAAAAAAAAACATGGTTTCGACATATACATATACACAAAAAAGACGCTAGCGTTTTACCATCTACACGATATTCTTAAATCACATGAAATTAGACATCTCGATATTAAGGATAAACAAGCAAGGCGGATTCATAAAGCACAACTACAGGAGTATGTTATTTTATAAAAATTTAATAGCATTTACTGTGCCAAATGTTGAGCTGACGCATCAAATTCTTGGTGACGTTGATCAGACAAATTTTGGTTGACGTTTTACCATCTAGCAACAAAGTTTCAGAGGGTGTCTGTCTCATAAAAATCGACATTGACAGACGAAAACGGAGACCCATTTTTTCGTAATCTAGGGGTCATGGAAACGAAAATTAAACCAATCATGACGTACGAAAAAACACGCTTCTTGAATAAATTAGGTAACATGATGATTCACGTCACGTAAATTTTAACACATAATAAATGTTGAACGAAAGTGAAAGTTTGCGTTAGTTTAAATTAATGTAAATTTTGCCCAATATGTGTTTTATTAGCATTTCACAGCTCGTGGAATACGCAAACGCAGATAAGGTTTGAACAATTTTGTAGTTTTTACGTTTTTATAACTAATAGTCAGATATCCGGAAACAACGAGAAACTTAATCGTCGTCGGAGAGGATAGCTCATCGACTTTATCGACATCGGTATACGCTATAAACGGAAACAGTCGACTTTGATTTGTCTGGGTCAGGTAGAAGTTAACCTAATTTGTATACTATATAAGTAATTTTTTGTATATTAGTGTACGCATAACGTTAACAAAAATTTTACTGCAATATGGATGTTTAACAAGAACGCATAACTCTATAAAGAGATCCCAAATAAGTTGGATCCCGTGCAACGGATGTAATTTTAAAATTTAAATGTACGGCCAAACATTGGAATTGATATTTCACTGCAAAAAGATATTTGCAAGTACATTGTACAGGATTTCTATAAGTGATTATAGGGTCGCAGTAGGTCATGTAAACCTGCCGCCTCTCAGATTTAACTGTACGGAGATCCGTACAAAGTGCCCAAGGACGCATGACAAAGATCACACATGTGTATAACTGGTTGCCTAAGCGCTTCGTATGTTTTTAAATAATAAAACTTATTTCTTACGATAAAAAGAAACAAATTTATTGCGATTAAACATTGCAGTAAATGTTGAAAATGGTCCTCATTCTGTTCAAGATACATATTCACTCTCTTTTTAATTTTAAAAGTGTTCTGTAACATCCTTTCGTCAATACTTTGGACCCGTTGTTCAATTATTTAATTCTGCTCAAGTCGTCTCAAATCATCAACAATTTCCTCAGATGAAGTCTTCCACCAGATTTCTCTTTTTTGATACTGCCAGTTCGAACAAATCTGTTGATTACATTGTTGTGGGCCTTTAACGATGTTTCTTGAATTATTAAATCACGGTATTTAGCCAGATATTCTTGCTTACAAGCGGTTACAGAATACACGTACTCTTCGTTTACGAAGTCCCATTGCGATAACAAGATATAACGATGAAAGTGTATGTGAATAAGCGACAACAACTTGACTCATGTAATACAGTTCGCCAAATAATTGATCGATACCCTACCGCGCCTTTCTTTAGTAGTAAGCTACTGGATCCGTATTTAAAGTTATCAAAATGTCATCTAAAGGTTATTGTCACTGCATACGTGGGTAAATTTTCTCTATTGGTTCTTTTAACGTCGCCCAAATGGATTACTTGAATAATTTTGATGCCATATTCAGCTAAAAATAGATATAGCAGCAATTTGGGCTTACTGAAAAGCCGATTAATCCCCCTTTCCATTTAGGGCAACTCAGAGCTAAGCTTAATATCGATCGATACGTCACAGAGTTTCTACCAGCACTAAGATTTCCTTTTTTTTGCAGATATCCAGGACCGACACCGTTACCCAAATGGTGTGCAGTACCTGCTGCCAAGTTACCATAAAAATGTACCAATTCCGCACAAAGTCCATCAAAAACGACAAAGATTTAAAGGTATTTACTCCACTTAATTACAGTAACCCTAGTTTTTGACCCAATGTTTCTTTCGTAGGCTAGATGTGCGGGGTATAACATTGCCCAACTGACGAGTGCTGGATCTACTCAAAATAACAAACCGGATACTCCTTCCAGCAAATCCTCTACTCCCACACCCCCACATATCACCATAAAACAAGTCCCGTCGATCCCGGAGAGGTATAAGTTCGCCCACCCTTCAGTCAAGGAAATCGTCAAGAAAAACCCCAACATCAAACTGCCGAACAACTGTCTGAAGTCACACATCGGTGCCTACATTACGCTACTAACCGATGAGGTCGACGAATATTTCAAAGAGAGGAACATGACTGATGCCGACATTGCGAAAGTAAAAGCCGAAGCGTATGAGTTGGCGTTTCCAAAAAAGATTTCCGTGCCAAAGAAGCGGAAAAAACCCACTCAGAATGAAAAGAGAGAAAGAACCGTTAGTCCTCTCAATAACAGTAAAAGAGTGAGGTTAAGTACCGATTCGAGTGATAAAATGAGTATATGTTCCGACGATACCACCTTGCCGGGTAAGGAGAATCTTAAAAACACCGTCAACGAAACGCTAAAAAGGAGCAAAGAGGATACGCATAATACCTCTGTCAAAATTCGGAAGGTTTCCCAAACTGACAATGGCAAGCCCAAACCCGATGAGGCTTCCCGGAAGCTCAGTGACTCTGTTAGTATAACGTTAAAATCGTTACTCACTGTTGAACCCACCAAAAAGAAAGCATCGTCAGAGGAAGAGATTACCTTAAAATCCATCCTTCAGAGTCAAAAAGAACAAGTTGCTGTAAGACGTGTCGCTGACGATAACGACGACATTATAGACGTGGAAGGTCCGCCATCTCCAGCACCGTCTGCAGCCTCCTGTCATACTCCTAGCAACAAGGAAACCCCTCGACCAAAGTCGGCAGCACAGAAAAAATCAAATAAAACCGATGAAAACGGTGCCAAAACAGTCCCCGACGAAGACTTTCAGTTGTTCACTTCACGGCCATTCCTTAAAGACGGACTTCCGAAGACGGTAATAGTGAATGGTGAACCGGTGATCATTTCAGATTCCGAAGACGAGAACAATGAAGGCAGAGACATGAGTGACGCAAGTGACCCGATCGTTTTCGACCTTGATAGCCGTAGTTCGACGAATTCGAGGTACAGCGATGCCGATAAAACTACGTTTACGGAGGCGCTACGACTGGCCCCGAAAGCACCCGACGGGGGTAACCAACCTGATTTTTCTTTGGTTTCCGTCGCAAACAAAACGCAAAACCTGTACACGTGTCGAGTATGTGATTCGCAACACCCGAGTCTAAAGGAACTGAAGTATCACGAGAGACGAACCCACACAAAGTGTCCGTTTTGTAACAAAAGGTTTCGCACGTTGGCGAACAGGGACGAACACGTTAGTAATAGCTGTGCGATAAATCGAAGCCCGGTTAAGTTGAAACAAGCGCGGTTGGAATTAACGAGGGTAGATGAACTTGAAGAAATAACAAAAAAGTATGCTAGCGCGTTCGAGGACTTCGCTAAGAGTGATACGGAGGAAGAAAAAACTGAAAGAACTCGCGTGGAGGTAACGAATGAAGATATTGATCACAGTCAGTTTACGACTGAAGAAATCCCTAGAAAAGCAACAAGTGAACCAAAGACAAATGAAGAAAATCTTAGTAAGGAGAGAAAAAGCGGAGGAAGTCGGAAGGAAGGTGATATTGGCAAGGAGAAGGAGAAAGCGGGGGTATCCGAAGCCACAAAACCGGTTCATAAACCAAAGAAAAAGGTCAATGACGCTCCCGTGGACTGCGACGCGGCAACAGCTGACGCTATTAGTGAATTGGAACAATTTTTGAATTACGCGGAAATTATACCTGTAAATGATAAACGAAGTCCCAGTGGACATGCAAAGAGTATTCACGAACCGATTTCTCGGAGTGACGACGTGATCTGCATTTCCGATGAGGAATCTGAGGAAAATCAAAGTGCACCCCTGGAAAAACAACCCATACAAGAAAATCAGACAACGTCGAAGGAACAGGAAAGTGAGCCTCAAGATAAGCAGCCTGAATTTCAACCAGACATGGAAGGTAGCGAACTGACAATTAATGTTGTGAATAGTGAAATTTTGAACGACATCAACATCCACGATAACGATTTCAACGTGTTGAAGGCGATATTGTACAAAAACTGGAAACGGTTGAAGGCGATGAAGAAAAATAAGGAGAACCAAATCAAGGCGAGCTTGAAGGATAGTCCAATCGTGGATGGTAATTCCAGCCGAATGAAGATTTTTAAAAATTTGCGGCAATTCTTGCATAAGTACAAAATCCCAATCGAGGTGAAATATAGTCCCACGGTTTCGGTGCAATATAAACCGACCACGCCACCGCCCCAGATTCGCATGACCGGCATGTGGTCAAATTTGGTACCACAGCAGCTGAAACCTTACAATGTTACTGTGCCAGTCACGAATGCTCCAACGGTAGCGAAACCTACCGCTTACACGGTCCTTAACGGCCAGATAGGTCTGGGTATGAAACAGATGTTTCAAACCGTTCCGGTAAGCGGCGCAGCTCGCCAGGCTATGATTTCGAACACCGGTCCGCAGCAACTCCAGCCTCAGATAACCAATGTTGGCACCGTCCAAGATAGCAGTGTGACCACCACGAATCTCATACTTTCGTCGGCTAGCAGCCATTCTTTGATTCTCAAAGGGGCTCCAACTTTGACTACTACCAGTGCTCCCTTCACAAACTATATTGTCGTGCAGAGTGCAGCTGTGTTGCCCACCGCGCAATTGCCCACTACACAAGGGCCTCTTCCTGTGATAGAATCGGTTACGAGTGCGGTGGATGGGACTACACCGGATCAGCCGTCGTTGAGTGCTGTAGCGCAGCTCGAATCGATCACAAACTCATTAATGCCAAATAGTCAACCGACTGATGCTGTTGTGACTGTGGCTAATGTGAACAGCGAGATTGTGACCGTGGCCAATCTGAGCACCGAGGTTGTGACTGTACCTAATGTAGACAAGCAAATTGTAGTAAGTGAGGTGCAAAGTACGAGTACCACGCAAAGTGCAAAGTCGACGATACAGCCGGCGATAAGAGTTAGGAATCTCAAGGAGTTGTCGTAAGGGCAACGTATTATATTTGTACGCTTAAGTTTAGTTACTTATTTCTATTCTAATCGTAATTAGTAAAAATTTCGGTTTTGTTTAATTTTCTGGTTTCTTTTGAATGTACTTTGTTTTTTGGTGAGTTATCTGGACGTAATAAACGTTGGGCCGCGTGAATAGTGTTTTTGTGGTGTATTAAAGGTATTATTAAAGGTAAGATTGGTGGAAATATGTTGGGCGTAACACTAGTTCAAGTCCCCTGCGTGGAAACTTGGGTCTTGATAATGAAGTGATTATATATAGTTAGTGACCCGGTACTAAGCATAGTATAAGGGTAAGTGATATGCAGTAAATATTTATTTTGTAATTAAAAATGATAATAAAACTCCCTCCTAAAAATTTCCCTTATTACCTTGATACAAGTGAGAATGTTGGAAACAGAGTATTGCATTTATTACAAAGGTATTTAAAGACAGAGTTCCTTGTGAAGATCCTGATTGGTAGGACCAAAAATGCAGAATGCGTTCACGTTTTTCAAAAGTAATGGCATTCGAGACTTTAGCTAGAGTCGTTCGAGGTCCCGTCTATTCCCATGGTCTGAGGTTTTGGAATTGGATTTCTTTACCCTTGGAAAAATGTCAACTCTGGAGTTGAATTCTAGCTTAAGAGACCTCTGCATAGGGCTTTTACGTCCTGTGGCCTTCCTGAATATATTTTTTTTAACATCACTTGTTGGGAATTACCGTGTCTCAACCATTCTACCACATGTTCAGTTTTCTCAAACAGCTAATGATCAGGTTTGAAAAAAAATATAGCCACATATTTCTTCCTGTTAAAGATCCATGGATATGATCTCGATAAAGACAAAAAAGATTGACTCGAATTTTCAAAGTAGAAACCCGGATCCACGACAACTAGATCTGTACCCTACTGTCTTTAAAGGCATCTATTTTCAGAATTTCTGCCTCAGGAGCTAGTTTGAATCCGACTCTATGCGAATCTAAGTTGTTTACCCTATATACATCTTTTGAATATATTTTTTCTTAGGAATTAGATTGGGACACCACATCCAGTTTCCTCAAACAACTAATCTTTGAGCAGGCCCCAACCGGTGAACGATTAGCATACAGATGAAAGATTGTTTAGGGCTTTTTAAGTATTAATCCAGACCCACGTAAACCGCAGAACTGTACATCGGCTACCGTTAAATGTTTCCATTTTCAGCGGTGTCCAGTATTTCAACAAAATGTCGAGCTTTGTTGAAGCTGTTCTAAATCAGCTAAACCAAATGCAAGGAACAACCAGTGTTAGTCTTTTCAGGGTTGAGCTCGAGGTACTCATATAAAGGTTAATCAAAAACCCGTTCATCTGATGTTAATAAGGATTCAAAATCTTAAACCGTGTTCCCGAACCTCAGTCAGTTGGTATGAAATGCATATCCAATGCTCTTCCTAACGAGGGAAATCTTAACCTCGTGTCCTAAAGAAAGGAGTTTCTAGTCTCGGGTCGATTTTAATATATACAGGTAATTAAATTTCTCGACGGTTTAAGAGAAAACTGATGCAAGTAGGCATCTCAATCCTTGAAATGGTTGGATGTAAAGGATCTGAAATAAATTCAACAAGTAGATGCCCTTCGATCATCCTATCTGTCCGTAACAAACTCTGAATAAATAAATTAAAAAATCACTAAAGGGAGATAAAGTTTGGGCATGACTGTAGGAGAATGTTTGGTGGTTTGGTGAAAAGTATATTAATGTACCTGGCAGAGTGGGGATTTGATGAATATAAGGAGATTGAGGAAAAGCAAGAAAGATATCTGAAATCGGTATTAGGACTGGATAGTGGGACTCCAGGGCTCATTGTAAGAGGAATTAAAAAGAGAAAAGCAGTGGTAGCAGCAAGGAAAGCAGTCAGGTATGAGGACAAGATGAATAAAAGAGAGGAATGTAAGATACTAAAGGAATGTTGGAAAGAGAAAGGAAACTTAGGGAGAAATTGAGCGAAATGGGTACGCGTGTAAAGAAATCGAAAAGCTGAGAGAGAAAGAGAGATAGATGTATTTGGGTATTAGGCATAGGCAGCGGGGACATTGACAGACAGGAGAGACGAGAACGCATAAGAGTCCAGGTACAATAGTTAATAACCTGGGAATAATTTTATTACGGAGGACTGGACAGAGAATGGGAAAAAGGAAAAGATAATCGCAAGATTCAGGTGTGGGAATGAGTGTGTAGGTTTTGTGGAGCAACGAAGGAGACAGTGGAGCATTTGTTGAAAGTGGTTTAGGTTTAGGTTGGATGAAAGAATTATGCGGAGGGGAAAAGAGAGGGAAAGTGAAGGAAGCAACAAATTTGGTTTGTTTGTGATATAAAAATATAATTTATGGGAATTATTTAAAGCCCACGGGCAAAAATAAACGTTAATAATACTACAAAAATCAATCGAAAGTGGTGTGCTATATAGCCTACTCAGTTACATGTGTATATATATAGGATGTAGTCTTCTTGTCCTTTTCTTAATTTTTCCACTATATGAAATTTTATTGTACTTAAAACAGAAAACAAGCGCAAACAAGAAAAAGTACACGGTGAGGTTAAAATTTCTTGGTTAGCTCTATCAGTTGCGGTAACTCAAAATGTAGCCACTAGTTTGCACGACACGTTGACGTGCGATTTTGGATTGGTCTTGATTAATCTTGGAAATAATTGTGATCTAGGAATGGAAACGATCACTTCGGAAGTTCATTTCATCTATTTGCATAACTCGTTCTATGATACTGCGCCAAAAACATAACTCTTTACGTCACAGAAGAATAACCGAAATATAAATTTCTCAAATTAAGTAATGGCAAACTAGTTTGCATGCCAGCTTGGCAACAGTGCCTACAAAATGTACATTTTAATAAACAATCGAAATTCCACCAAAAGATGGCAGCACAGGTGGTAAACATAAATTATCCCACATATAACCTCGAAGCTACATTATTTCAATGCACGCTTAAAACACGGGAAATTATATAAGTATTTGCATTTTTCGTTTACTTTACTTACCTTAACACCACGAAATTCTCTAGGACACTAAACAAAAATAAGTCACCTGTTAAAATCAGTTTTTACCTAGAATTAATGGCATGAAAGGAACGTAACGGATTTGGGAGGAAAAAAAAAACACTCCAATTACAGCATACATTTTTCACAATAGATCTTTACAGTCTCACAATAATTCAATTTCATTGTAAAAGTTTCAAGTAACAACAAAACATTAGTATAACAAAATTATGGCAAGTAACAAGAAATTTTTGTTGGTGTTTTTCACTTTTAGATATACAGATAGTACATTGATCGTCTATCGATTGTTTCATAGTTGTTATTGACTAGTAATACATTAAGCTGCACTCTTATGATAGTTCTTTTATTTTTCTTATACTACAACGAAAGAAGAACGCCATAATTCAACTCGAAGAACTGATAACGGCCCATTTATCCCGAAACTAGTCGCTTTAGCAAAAATAAAAGAAGTATCACTCGAAATGGGCGTCCTGAGGCAAAAAATCGGTGACTTTTGCGTCAGTTCGAGTCCCAATCAACTTATTGCCTATAAAAATTTATTACTTACGTAATAGTTTCCAACAAAAGTAAAATTTTACAAAAGTGGTTAAAACAATAAGTTACAATGTCAACAACATAAACATGGAAATATCATTTATTGCACTACACTTATCGAGGATTCAACAAAGAAATGAAACTAAGTTAAATTTTTCGCCTAATCACTTGAAACGACGGGAAACGCAACGCAATTCAACTTACCGGAACATCACCTGAGGCAAATCTCAGTCGTCAACGCGTCAATAAAACCAGCGCCCCATGCTCAAGATAAGTGTAACATCATCAAACAATACAGATTACCTAGAACCGTCCAAGTCTCGCACAAATCGGACAGTTGCAGCCAATCGCTAATCGCTCTAACTTGTACTCTAATATTTTTTTCATTTTCAAAATAACCTATTTTATTACTTTTTATAGTTTTTCATTTTTTATGTTTTGTTTGTAAGTTGTCAGCAATTCACGTACAAAAGTGACGAAGACGTCCAAATCACTTTCGACATCAAATCAATGATATGGACCGGGGATCGCCGGACCCCTGCTCCTTAGATAAAATAAAAAAAAAATTCGTTAGCCTAACTTGAATTGCTTAAACCTAGCACCCGACGCTCCTACCAGAAGGTATACCCCCCGTCTGAACCGCCGGCTAAAAACGAGTTCTTCTTCTGACCTAACGCCACCTGGTGGCCGGCCATGGCCGCCAGTTGCGCTGCGGATGGTGGCACGCCAGGAGGAGCGGGGGGGATCACAGGCTGGCCTATGCCGTCGAACCTCGCGCCGGCGTCGTATCCGTTCTGCAAAAGAGGACCGCAGCGAGTTGGGTTAGTACAGTGGGGCCAATCGCCACCCAAACAAGTTAACAGCATGGAACAACGCTAATTAAAAAAAAAATCAGCGCCGAACCAAATCAAATATATACTCGGAATTTTTTTTGTACAATTCTCGAAATGAGAAGAGACAGCAAAATTCGACAGCTCTGTACCTTGACGTCCAAGGAATGGTTGAAAACAACTGGTACATTAAAGACGTGAAGCTGCATCCTGGAATTGGCATTCAAGGAGTGACACTACTGAGTAGCTTTATGTTGAAGAAACGGTTGAAAATAAAGTTGGCCAACATTCAGGAAACAAAGGCAACATTCTGAAGATATATTATATAAAACCTGACCTGGGCACTGGAATTGGTGAAATTGATTCAGATAAAGAGGTTACCCAAAAAGAAAGGGGCATTTGGATTAAATTCTAGGGCATTCTAGAACTAGAAGTACAGGGCAGCTTTACGTCGAATAAATGGTTCAAAACAAAGTTGTCGTGAACTTTGCGAACATTGACGAATATTTGAAGTTGGGTACTGGAATTGAAGAAGCCGAGTCAGATGAAGAATTTGAAGCTAAAGAAGAGTAAAATTCTATCAAATTCTTAGGCATTCAAGAACTACTACAGAGGCGGTTTATGTTGAAGAAAACTAAGGGGGTAAATTCAAGTTGGATTTGCGAAATCGCAAGTGCCGTTGCTATGGTAACTGCGATGACAGTTGTTGCGATTCGCGATTTGATTCGTTATCGCGACTGCTGTCATCGCATCTTCCATGGCAACGGGGACTTGCCAAATTGTAAATCCAACTTGAAATTGGCCCGTCAGGCAATATTCTGGTAGATACATAAAAGATATTTGAGGTTAGGTCCTGGAATCGGAAAAAATGAGTCAGATAAAGAGGTTAAGTGAAAAGAAGGAGAAATTGGTATACAATTCCAAAACAATCAATAACTGGAAGTACAGAGCAGCTTTGCGTTTCACAAACTGTTGAAAAAGTTCTCGTGATGCTGGACAACACTCAGGAAGATACATAAAATATATTTGGACCTGGGTACTAGAATTGGAAAAATTGCTTCAGATAGAGGTGTACTGAAAAGGGGAAATTTGCATCAAATTCTAAGGCATTCAAGAACTGGAAGTTTACGTTGACGAGACGGTTGAAAACAAAGTTCTTGTGAATTTGGAAAACATTCAAGAAACAAAGACAACATTGTGGGAGGTGTATACAATATATATTTGGACCTGGGTACCGGAAGTTCGCAAACATTCAGGAAACTAAAGTAACATTGTGGAAAATATAAAAAATATTCGGACTTGGGTATTGGAATTGGGAATTCAGATAAACAGATTAAGAGAAAAAATCAAATTCCGATTAAATTCTAAGAACCAGAAGTTGCGTTTCAAGAAAAATCCTAGTTGTGAACGAAAAGATACAAGAAAAAAAAAATTCGATTGTATTAGTCAAATGATTACATGTTCCCAACAGGCGAACATGACGTAAGAAGACTTTGTTAAGTCAGAATGTAGTCTGCACCCACATGGACAAACATAGGCTAGACATTACTTATGAACATAATTGTAATGTAATTTATCAGCAAAGGTGGCTTGAGAGTTCAATTTGCATTGGGTGGGCTTTGAAAGCTCTATCACACCCAGTTTGATATTCTCTAGAACGAACGTTTTCTTAATAGGTCCTTTTCTCTTTTCCTTTCATACTTTTTGTGGTTTTGTTGTGTATGTAATCTTAGGATTGTTTTTAAAGCAACAACAAAAAAACCACGGATAATTTCTACAAAACCGGTTGGAAAGATTCAACAACTTACAGGTATCATGATCGTTGGCCTCAGCTGCGCCGGCTGCATCGCATACGAATATGCACCTAGAGACGGATAATACTGCATGGGAGCATAAGTGGGGTACCCTAGGTACGTCGGATATCCAGCTGCGTACATGGTGCCTGGATGGTACATCTGCAACTGTTGTCAGTAGATGGCGCTACAAACACGAAAGTCTTACCGGTTGGCCCACAATAGCTGCCGGATGCGTCAGGGCTTGATCATAGGTCGGAGGTGGCCCCTGAGGGTATATCTGAGTCTGGCCAGGTATCACATAAGGAGAGCCGGTGGGAATACCGGGCACCACTATAAGAAAAACCGTTACACGCGGACTAAAGAGCTGCGATTCCGGGGAAAATTGCTGGCATCGTGAACTTACTCTTCCCTTGCGTATCGCTGTTTGCTGCCGGTTCGGGCAGGCTTTTTGCTTCGTCCATCACTGCGTTGATGGTTTTTTCGTCACTATGTTCGTTAACGTCGCCTAGCGCCATGGCCGCTTTGTGTTTTTTTAATAAATTTCTTAGAGCGACAATGTCACAGTTATCACTTATCTCTAATAACTGCGCATAAAAGAATCGAAATATGCATTTACAAGCACATTAAGTTTTATCTGTAATGACAATAAATGATAAATTATACATCTAATCTCGCAAATACGCGATAACGCGTTGAAATAGCAGGTGGAGTACATTCTTTTCAACTGATAGCACGCAAACAATTCTCTCGCAAACATTATCTCATGTAATTTGCATTTTATTTATTGCCTCTAAATTTAGAAGAGCAGTATTGACTTCAACACAAAGCGTGACCTTCTGTAACTAACATTCTGTGGCTTTTCTCATTGTGGGAACAAACGTTTTCTGTTTACGAAACTTCCTTCCGTTACTGTCCAAATACTTTTAGTTAGTTGAAATAGTGCAATAAATATCAAGGACGCTCGATAAATAGGATTGTCCACAATAAAAGTCGGCGATTTCATAGGCCGACCAGATCACGCCTCGCAAGTAAATTACCAATGAATGGTGTTTTCAACATGGAAGTCACATCTTAAAATCGTTTCTCGTTACGTCATTGGTTGCCTGAAACTCCGCCTTAGCTTTAAATCCATGGCGTTGTAAACATTTATAATGATTTTTATTATTGTTTCAATGCGAATTTTGTATCCTTAGGATTTCCTTAAACGTTCTCACGGTTTCAAAATATGCTCAATTTTATGTTTCCATTGCTTTTATTTTAGAAGCCCCGTTCTTACGCTCTTCTAATTGCTTGTTATTGTAGTTTTGTTTTTTCTTTAGTCTTCATTGCAGCTTTTCCTGTTTTTGTTCCTAATTTGTTGTTAATATTTTTGAACATGTCGCAGCAACTGTTTTATATACAAAAATCATAAGACGACGATACTTAACGCTGTCGATCTCCAGTATCAAATGTCACATGAAGTTTAAATTTTGGCATGAATTTAAATACAGTTTAATAGAATCTGGATTTGGTCAATTACTTACAGAAACAAACAACAAAAAACAACATAAACAAAGACGTTTGTGACACATTTTAGCTTACATAAGCGGCAACAAGAATAAATAACGTCGTTTTGGTATTTTCCTATTTACAGTTGATTATACTGTTAGTACCACACTAAAGAAGCATACATACAGTTATATACATAATTTCTGCCAGCAATTTTCCCACACTTCCCCTGTAAATTACCTCCGTAAGGCTGTGGTGTCGGCACAGACTGATTAGCCTGCGGTGGAGGCTGAGGAGTAAATGCTGGAGCAGATGAAGGTGGGGGAACAGCGCCCCCTATAGCTGCAAATCGAATTAAAAACACCATTTTAACATCAACACCATCTAGCGTCACAGAAAAGAAAACATAAAAACCAAACCAAATTGACTTGTGAATTTGATTAAACTTTTTTGATTTAATTTAGCAAATCATTATTAATTTGAACTAATTTGAAAACCAAGCGAAACGAAAAAGATTCATGTTCGAGAGAGAAAAATTTATAGTGGAAAACACTGAAAATTTGTGACGTTCCCGTATATGAATATAAACATTCACAGTGCTCGAAGATATGCAAAAATATTTTTCGGTTGGTTTTAGTGCTGGGTCGTCGAATATTTTTGCACAAATTTTTCAGATTCGATTTTCGACTAGATATAATACAAAATACTCCTATAGCTAGTATTTACATTTAGAATGTTCGTACGTTATATTCATAGGAAAAAATATTATTTTGAAAGCATGCATACGTTCAGTCTGCATTTGCGCGATCTCGCTTTACGGTCACACAAGGAAAAAGAATGGTAGGAATTTTAAAACCGAAAACGAAGGAACAACACAAAACCAAAATAAACGGATAGGGGTCGAGAAAAAATAATCTCTTTCTCTCTTATCCTTTAAATTATAAAAGCAATTAAACCGAAGAAATAACAGATCCTAAATTTTGATTTTTGCATTTTCTTGTTTTGACTCGCTTCTTTATCAATTCAAATGCAAAATGAACATGGTGTGCAAAACATGCAAACTGAAATGTAAACAGTTAAATAAAAACGAAAATACACCTCTGGAGACGCATAAGGTTCACGACAAGTGTATTTTCCGTAATAACAATAAACAAAAATTTTCATGCAAAAATAAAAAAAAACACGATTCCAGCAGATCTGATTTTCATTTGATCTGCTGAAGCCGTCGAAAGCATGCGAAATATCTAAAAAAACAAGCCTAATGACTGTTATTTTCAATTTAGAAGCTAGGATGAAGGGAAATTAGCACGAGTTAGTAGAAATCAAATTATCTAACATCTTCAACATACAGATTTTTTCAAACGTTTCAAAAAACCTGCATCAGTACCAAGGATCGAAAATGGCTACATGCCCTATTCTGTACACTATGAGACATGCAAAAATAAAAATCATTAGACCGAGTGTTCTGGTATATTGCTTTGTCAGATAATCGAGTATTGTTTAATCGAAACCAATATACCCTAGCACCATGCACAAGTAAGAACTATCATCTATCAAAGAATTACTTAGTCTAGATTAGTCACATATTATTAATAAGGTAATTCAAACATTTTAAGTACAAAATCCCGTTGACCTGTGGCAGAGTACGCTCGACCCATCAAATTATCCGCTTCTGAGGCTGGACTTGACTGAGGTACGGTAATTTGATAGGTAAAGGCTGTTTTACGATATATTAGCGACGTAGAGGTGCTGCAGCGGTTTTAGCCAACATTGTAGCAAACACCGGGTGAATCCAGTAAGTACCACCCTACACCCACACACAACAAAAAATATGTAACACAACAATCAGCCCCATGAATAAACAATCGCTTAATAACAGACTCGTGTGACGTTCGTTAGGTTGGCGGAATCGATTTTAAATACATTTAAATAATTTAGATTAAAACGGCATTAAATTGTTCGCATTTACATGAGGTAAGGCGGTCACGAAAAAAACGGGAAATGATTACCAAATGCGGAAAAACCGCTGTCATATTTTATATTACTTTCTTAGTTCGGTGTTGAAAGAACTGATTCCGAGCGAATCATGACTCAATGAAAGTAAGGAAATAATCACCAATTGGGGAAAAATTGCCTGTCCTATTTTCTATTACTTTTCTGGACATTTACGAAGATCGTGAGTTCGGTGTCGAAGAGAAATGATTTTAGCTTTTTGGACTATAAGGTGTAATTTTGTCATAACATACATAATGGAACTACAGTTGTAATCTCTGGCAAAATTTCTGTCGGCCATTATCCGTACTTCCTTCTCGTGAAGGTGGTAAAGATCAGTATCGGACAACAGCTGGTGTTGTAACCAAATAACGAAGTCAGTGGGAAGTCCGGTCCCGGATCTCGTTTCCAATCCCTTTTCCACACATAATTTTAACTAGAGTGTTATCTATACGGTTTGCCGAACTGAGTTTGGATATTTTCATACAGCGTGTCCCTAAATTGTGATTTTTTACAACACCTGCATACGTCGGTTTACTAATTTTGGAGTTTGCATTTCAAGGCTTCGAAGCAGTTTCTCCACGAGTTTTCACGTTCCTTTTTCTTTGATTGCTTACATATTTTCTTCCATAGACGTATTTAGTATCTTATGAACAAAATTCACTCCACATGTTTATTATATAACACGTGGTCTGCTATTTAATTGTTATAAAAGTTCATTGAGTATTTGTTCTATTCTTTTAGGACTCAAAAGCTCTGCCAGATGGATGGTGCACCACCTGCTAGCGTTTTTAATTTTCGTAAATTCCCTCATTTCGCTCCAGCGTCTTCGTCCCCATTGCCCCAAAAGCAAAATCATTTATAATTCCAAAGCAACTCCGCCAGTTAAAACTGCACTAATTAAATACTAAAACAGAATAATAAAGCAGCGCGAGACGCCCAGAATATAAATATTTAATTATTTGTCAGCGCGGAGCTCGCGGAAAGTTGAAATCGACATTTAACTTTCTCAACTGAGAACAGGAAGGAATTCCTTGAGTTATTTGGCTCGTTTCAATGATCGATTTTCGCTCGTTCCTCGCTTTGCATGTTCGAACGACACGCTCTTTTTTTCACAGCACATACGACGATAAAAATGATGCATTGGGTAATAATTACGCTTGTCAATTGACCCGTTTTCCACTGACCTTCCGAACACCAACACAACGGGAAAAAATAAATTGGAAGCCTACACGTGTCAGAAAAAAACGCACAAAAATAATTTTGATTTATTTGCTTGCACATATTGCTTAACAACTGCGGGCAGGAAGAATTAATTAACGGGCGGTTTTACGCACCGAAATAAATACCAGCTAGAAATTTTCTTGTGGGCAGAATAATAATACTTCGAAACGCACAAATGGTTGGGAAAAATTACGAAACTTCGTGAAAAAATTTCTCACGTCAATCGCGTAAAAAAGGACTATTTTTACATGCAACTAAAATAATGAAAATCATAAAAGACCTTTGTTTCTAATTTTCAACGAATAGAATATTTTTGTTGTGTTCGTGTGCAGCGTGACTATGACCGGTGTATATTTAGACTTCAATTACTGCAAACAACTCAAACAATTATTTCTCAATATTCTTCTATTCTATTAAAATAATAAAGTCAAAGTAAACAGTCTTAAAGATTGAAACTTCCATCAATTTGACTGAAAAACTCCTACATATTTATAAAAAATCTAATTTCTTGTTAAATTGTCATTGGCTTTTTGAGGTTTTTAAACTTTGTATTGTACAATTTTGAAGTCAGTATAGCTATTAATAATTTTTTAAAGTAACACTGGAAAAAATACGCAACCAAGGATCGATACGTTTTTTGTTGGCTACTGTGGTGGCTACTGAACGCGGTTGGATTTTTTACTTTTGCAAATAAAACCACAGTTGTTTTTAGAAGCAGACATTTTTTTCCAATTGAAATTAAATAATTTCGATCTGTTTGATGAGCATCTGCTCGGAATATAAAAGTTTAAGAGAAATAAATTGTTTTAAAATAGACTGGAGCCCCATTATAGCAAATATGCAAAGTTTCTGCGTTTCAGGCCGCCTCTTATCACGCAATTTAACGTCATTAGAATTTCAACGGTGGTAACTGGAACGGCTTTTTGCCCTTCTATTGACGTTCCGCACATACAAATGGGTTAATTTAGATAGGCCGACTGTAGGTTTCATATTTTTTGGACTTCATCATGCAGTGAATAGACCACAAATGTCTAATGTTGGACCACTGAGAATTTTTACATCTTCAGCTACAGTAATTGTTACAACACTGCATCATGGTATGATTCTGAAGTGTAACCAATTGTATTGAACTTTTCTGTACAAATGCAGTGTTGTATGCAATCCCAACCAAAAATCTAGTGAAGGTAAAATCGTTGAGCGGGTATAACCAACAAGCATCAGCCACTGTTTAAAACACATGAAAATAAATATGTACTGTATTCTTTGCAGTCCGAGCTCCTTATCCAGGCGCGGCTCCTCCTCAGTTGGTATAAAACCAGGCGCTGGAAGTAACACATGTCATCATATAAATCGCCCTAAATCACATCATTTTATTAAAATCCCTAACATATACTGCAGTATTTGCAATGTAGGACAAGGCTATTAAAAAGGCATGGGAACAGAATGAGCAAGAACATGTGAGTTACCTGATTCAGACAAAGATAACCTAACTGTTAGTATTGATTGGAACATCCTGCATGGAATTATGCGATTTTTATGCCCGAATCTGCCCCCGCGACAACATTAGGCGCTCGATCGGAAAAACTGCACTGCAAACAGCACACGGGGGCCCGGAAACCGACAAATGGGGCACAATCAGGGCCGACTTTACGCGGGCTCCACAACGAACCATCCGACTTACCTTTCTTGTCGCTCATTGTCTCGGGGGCCTCTACAAATATCAATTACTTTAATTTTTACTATTACGGCTCTACACTATTATTTATGGAACACAACACTTCTGACACTGAAATCACAGCACAAACGTCAAAAATTTAAGCGCATGCGTGTGGAGGACACAGAGGCAATTAACAACCCCCGCGAAAAGGCGATATTACGCGTTCAAAAGATATTCAAACACCCCCTCAAGACGCTCCACCACCACGTGTAATGTATATACAGCAGAAAACTCTTTTACGCTTTAACTTCGTTTCACTTATAGGACTTTTGATTTTCCGCGGCGTATAGG